AAGGAGTTGTGCTGCCAATCCAAAGGTGGATGGTTCAAATTCACTTGCTCCTCCACAGGAGAAAGAAAAGCAATCTCTGATGTGATTTTCAGCCTCTGAAAATCCACTGGAGGGTCAGCTATGAGTCACGTCTGACTTGGCAGCAATATGTTGAGTTTGCTCAGTCTCCTAAACTGTGACAAGGTTTCTGTCTATTAAAACCATTCATTTGGGGTATTTCCATCACAACAGCACTAGATAACCATGACAGAATTTGGTACCAGGAATAAGGTATCTACTAGATATCTAAAATGTAGAGGTCATTGGAATTGAAATTGGGTCATGTATAGAAGAGGACAGGGTTTTAAGGACAGTAAAAGCCTAGACTATCTTGAAGAAATTTTTGGTAGAATTATGGATGTCAAAGGCATTTCTAATGAGGGCTTGGAAGCGAGGAGAGCTATAGGGAACATAATAGAGAAAACATATGATGTCAGCAAAAGATTGTTGCAAGAAATGTGGAGGCTTTTTTTTTTAAAGAACATGTGATTACACAATGGAGCAAAGACAGTATTATTTTTTTATTCAGTGGGGGAAGGGGAATCCTTGTCTGGTTATGTTCAAATGTTTATAGGAAAGTAACAAACTTGGATGTCTGCCTGAAGAGTTTTTTGAACAAGTTCTTAACAGGGCCAAGCAGTTTCTCCATGCCACTACAATCAAAATGAGAAGAAAGATATGGACAACAAACTGCAAAATGAAAATAGAACTAAAAATCTGGAAAATTCTGTTGTACAAATTAAGGACACGCCTAGACTGTTCATTAAGGATACAGCTACACATTTTTTTGTTGTTGTTAAAGAGATTAGCAATCTTGTTAAGCTTGTGATTGGTGGCTCTGGGCAATGACGGAAAACCCATCCGCTTAGACTGAAGGGGATAGGGAAAGAATGAAAGGAGAGAGTACTGTCTCTTTGAATTTGGCAGGCCAGACGAAGGAGTTATAACTTATTCTCCAAGAAAAGGAAAGGACCATTCCTGCAGCGCTTCAGAGACTAGCAGAGTTGTTGGAAGGAGTATGAAACTGGGCCCTCTCCGTTTCAAAGGATGGTCCGTAGCCTCCTAGGTTTCAGAGTCAGGCCTATGCCAGCTCAGTATCAGAGTGTGGGGACACCATTACGGTATACCAGGGGGACACAGCTTCCGTGTCCAATGGGCAGAAAATGGGAACTGCTGAAGCTGATGGACTAAAGCTTTCACTCAGCTGGATACAAAGAATGGGCTGCCCAAAGTTGAGGAAGCAGAGTTGTCTCCGTGCCCTGAAGCCCAGGGCTGAGGGATCTTTACCCAGAATTCAGAAGACATGGTCAATGCCCAGCCTGAAGGGTAGGGCCACTGCCCAAATAATCTCAGAGAAGAGAAGATTCTTTTCAAGCCTTGAGAACTGATGTTCTAATGTCTGATGGGTTTGTTCTGCTGGGTTTTGGACTTACATGGTCCCTGTTATCCGATCTTTCCTTCTAATTTCCCTAAGTTGTAACTGAAAAGCCTACCCTGCACCTATTCCATAAATGTATTTTGGAAACAGATAGTATATATTCTAGATTTCTTGGGAACACAGGTGAAGATGAATTTGCTCTAGGAAGGGATATGCTGAAAGTCTCACCCATATCTGATTTAGATGATTCAGAAAGGGAGATTTTAGTCTTGGAGTTGACTTGAGATTTTGGGGATGATGTAATGGAGGGAATTTGTTTTGCAAGGGCAAGAATATGCACTTCTAGGGGTTGAAGAGTAGAATGCTATGGATTGAATCATGTCTCCAACAAATACAGACAAAGAGATCATAATCATAGCACCAAAGCAGTAACTGTTGAAGACACTGTTCAGTGGCATTCATTATTAAAGCCTCATCAGTTCTATGGAAGGAGTATTTTTAATACTATGCCTATCTTACAGAGAAAGAACCCAGGCCTCAGGTTAAGTTGAAGAGCTGAGATTCAAGTTCAAGGTCTGACTACAGAGTTCTTTTCTCTACACCTAGCTTGGCCATTTCTTCAGCAGTTATGATTCAATTCCAAGAGTGGCTGACACCAAGTCAGTAAGTTCTAATATAAGGCAGTGCACCTACTCCTCACTTATTAACTATTTAGTTATCTGGCATTAGGCAGTTGCAATCATAGTTTTAAAAAAAAATCAACCCCTACTATCTATTTTGTGAATTCACAAGACAGTGACTATATCAGTCATGGCTTCAGAGAATCAACTCCCTTGAGGAGGGTCTCTGGACAGCTTCTTTGAAGCTGGGCTGTGCTGCATTTCAGCCCCTATTTCTTCCTGCCAATTGAGATGCTCTGTTAAGCTGCTTTATGGAGCCAGTGGCCCCTTTACATGGCTTCTTTGAATATCTCCTCCAAGAGTCCCACAGGCAGCACCAGGCCAATAAGCACCTGTTCTGGGTTCCCAGCTCCTGTGTGGCCTGAGCTGCCAAAAATTGCTATGGGGTGTCGAAGAAGGAGAGAAAGTGGATCAGAGAGTGTGTTTGGAATATGGAGTGTGAGCTTCATGAGGTTCCCAAAGTGAGGTGAACTGAGCCTGAAGCGTCTTCCTTGGTGGGGCCAGGTGCACAGCCAGGCACCTATGAACATGGCAGGAAGCCCAGAGGTCCGTGGCTTGCCAGGCACAGAGGGCAGAAGCTCCAGGATCATAAGCCTAGGGCTTGCAGGGGTGGGAGCAAAGCCCTGGAAGCAGTTCTGTAAGGAAAGCTCTGACTCAGCACAGGAGGAAGGCTGAGTGGTTAAGCTGTAGGCCCTCCACTCTCACAGCCTGACTTTATCCAGCTTTATCTCCTCTAAGCCTCCTTCTCTGAAGAGGAATAAGCCATAACTGGACTCAGCACAGTGATGAGAACATTAGTAAATCTTAGCTGTTATCATTTTCATGGGTATATTTTCTAAAGGAAAAAAAAATGGAGAAATGGATGGTTTGAAAGCAGGGAAAAAACCCCAAAGCAAAACTTGCATTTTCCCACAGCAGACCTGTGCCCTGAAGGGTTTTCAAAGATGTGATCGTTTGTAAGCAGACCTCCAGGCCCACCATCTGAGGTTCCTGGTCTTTGGAATTCAGTTATATTGACAAGTGAGGACTGGATGTATTTGGGTTAGCTTTTGGTGTTTAGCGTGGGGAAGGGAATCAAGGCTTTTGGCAGTACTTAGAATATACACTGTCCTTAGACTGCAACCCTCACCATGACTAGAAGGCACAGTATGGTTGGGACCTAAATTAGCCCACCTCCAGAGTGTACCCCAGAAAGACATGAAGCTGTGGACACAAATCATAATGGAAGAATTTGAAGCTTAACACAGCTGGGTTTCCATCTGGCTGAGGGCATGGTATTTCACCTCTTAGAACCTTAATCTCCATGTGGCTAAGAGTCTGAGTGTCATAGCAGATGGTCAGTAAGTGATGCTACTGTTACTCTGGGGAGCTCTGGTGGTTTAGTGGTAAGGAGTTATGCTGCCAACCCAAAGGCAGGTGGTTCGAATCCACCAGAGAAAGAAGGGGCAATCTCCTTCTGTGTGATTTACAGCCTCTGAAAAACTACTGGATGGTCAGCTTTGAGTCAGTTCTGACTATGATGGCACATAACAACAACCACCACAACAGTCATTCCCAGGGAAGTCTGTCTGCTAGAGGCGGCTGGGAAATACTCAATGGCTGTTCCCTTTCTCTGCACCTGCCACGTCAGTAACACCTACCCACCTGTGATGTGGTACATACAGGTGCTTGGAACAGAGACAGGGTATGACTAGCCCCCCAGGCAGTAGCAGAGCAGGCTGGTCCAGATAGATATCTGTGTCTATGACTTTTTTCTATTTTAATAGGGTCCCAGACTCTGCCTTTGTCTTTGTAGCCAAAACAAGCTGCCTTCAAAGGCCTTCCACACAGGTTCCCCGAGCTCCATGCAGGCAGGACGCCCCGTAAAGGTGGCAATGGCAAATGGGTAGTTCTCTGAAGCATGCTTTCCAAATCTTTCAGGCTACCTTGCTTTTGAGAAAGGCAGAGGCAGAATTCTATGCATGTGAACATTTCTAACGGAGTAGTCGGCCATTTCCCCCTATGCTGGGGGGTGGGAGGGGAAGAAAAATCTATATATGACAATCAGATTCATTTTTTTGATTTACAGAAAATCAAAGACAAAGGGGGATTTTTTTTGTCTTGTTTTTGCTATGACAGGTTTAGAAATTTGTTGTACTATGTTGATTCAATTTTTCTTGATTTCAGCCATCTTTCAATAATGCAACCTGCTTCTGCAAGCTGGGTACACAAGAGAAAACCCAAAGGAACTGAGAATATTGAAATGGTTCTACCATTTCCATCTTTGAGACAAATGTTCCTCTCTGAGGAGAGCTGGCTGCAAGCACATGACTGCTTAACAACCTTCTATACATAAAAAAAAGACACACACACTATAATGCTGCCTTAAGAAAACATGGAGAAAATGAACACATCTGACCTCAGGTCTGATTCCATTATCTCCGTTCTGTTTTCTTCAGAACTATCATATGCAATATGCACTCCAATCTTGGATTTCTTTCTTTCTTAACAGGAAAACAAACTATTCCAAACCACGCTGTCAGATGGGACCTCACTTAGCAAATAAAATGGTCCGTGCCCATGCCCTAAATGATCAGAAATGTGGGCAGTCTCGGAAAGTCCTGAGTGGTGGCTAATATGACAAGAGAAGGAGGTAAGACCTTCTGCCCGCCCTACCCTGTTTAAGTATAGACATTTGTAAAAATGAAGCTTGTAAAATGGTTCTGTCACTTGCCCTCGACAAGGCAAGGAAGACAACTGTCATATTTGACTCAAAGTAACAAATACATTAAAACCGAATTTTGCTTACCAAGTAATAAATTTGAGTGAAATGCATGAAGCCCTGTCAGGTCCTACCCCATGATCTTGTGGTGAGTAAGTGGTGGGCCAGCCCTACCTGCCCCTGCTCTGGGCACCTTACTTACCTCTTTTTCAATTTCTGCAAGAGATTTGATGGTGATTCCCAAGAGATCAAAGGGCTGCATCTGAAAATACAGAACAAGTCACTTCCTTAAATGGCTGGAAAAGGCTTCTTTACAGATTTCTCTTTATGCACAAGTATTGTGAAATAATAGTGAAAAAATCTCCTTGTATGACCTAGCATAGTTTCCATCCTTTTCCCATAGAAAATGCAAGAAATCCAGGAGTATGCTAGGTGATGGTCTAGTGATTTTGTCATTGTTATTAGTCACTGTGAATCAGTCACTGTGACTCTTGGCGATCCATGTGCTCAGCAATGTTGTCAAAGGTGTGCTCTTTTGGAAACAGACTGCTAAGCTTGTCTTCTGAGGTGTTTGGGGGTGAGTTCAGATCACTAGTCTTCTAACTAGTAATTAAGTAGGGAGCTCTGGTGGCCTGGTGGTAAGGTGTTGGACTACTGACCTAAAGGCACACTGTTTGAATCCACCAGTAAGAGAAAGATAGGCAATCTGCTCTTGTGCGATTTACCAATGGGAGGGTCAGCTATGAGTTGATTCAGACTTGACAGCATAGAACAACAAAAATAATAGTGATTAAGCGCTTAACCATTTGTGCTACTCAGAGACTCCTCATTAATTATCAGTGAGAACAAACACACGTGGTCGGAACAGCTTTAAGAAAACGTGTCTGCAACATGAGTTGGCTCCTCCAGGTGTGAGGACATAGGACGGTCCTCTGACTAAGCACCCAGGAGGGTCACAGTCCATGGAAAACCTCTTTCTGTAGCCATAGGGGCAAAGGTGCCGGAGGCTGTCCTAATGGCCGCGCCTATGGGAATCTTAGGCCCCGAAGATGTTAAGTCTCCAGTCCCGGGCTTTCTAGTATCCAGGGAAGGAGCGGGAGGTGGGGAGGAAACTCCAAGTATTTGAATATGTAAGGTGAATGAAACAACTTGCCCATAAATTATCATTTCAGAACTCAATGGTGGTGAAAAAATGGTAACACTGCATTTTAATGGATCTGTAATTTCAAGAAGATGGAGGCCCTTTTAATGAAAGTGATGGGTTTTTTTTCCAATAAAAAGCGTGAAGACCATTTTTTAAAAAATGAAATCACACTTTTATTAGAGACTTTTGCAAACCTCAAAAGCCCCCTTCCAAGTTAGCTTTGTACATTGCCGTGTGTTACATGTGGAAAAACAGTAATCAAACACACAGGGCAGTGAGCACTAGGTGGGGGTCCCCAGAGAAGAGGGGCTGAGACAGTGGACTTACAGGGCAGAGGCAACTCTGCCTGTGAGAGTCAGAGTTCTCTGTGGGTCCTTCCTCCAGCTTCCTGCAGCCCTTGCCACACAGCTGGAGGTCTAAGACGAATAGGTAAACCCAGGCATCTCCGACAAAATTCCTGGGCCTTGGGGGTTCTGAGCTGCAGCCCTGGCAGCGGGGAGTGAGAAGGCCTCCATGGACCCAACAAGGTCCAATTCAAATCAGCAGGCATTTCCAGAGGCCGACTCTGGATTCCAAGGACTGGATTTATGACCAAGCTCAGTCTCCTAATGGTGCGACCTCAGGTTAAATCACTGCATCACTTCCTTGCCCGCTGGAAAGCAGCGTGGGCGAGCCCTGCTTGCACAGGCTGTGTGGAGGATTAAATGAGAGAAAGCACACGGAGCCCTGGGCACGGGGCTGGCCCAGAGTCTGTGCCGCCAGCACTTGCTGAGTCGGCAGCGCCCCTGCAGCCGTACATCCGAGAGGGCAAACTTGGGACAGGGCCACGAATTAGACACAAGCTCCTAGAGCTGCTCTGCCAGTAGCCACAAAACAGTTTGGCTCTCTCTGCTCGGCCAGCCCGAGTGGCAGGAGAGCGGAGGCCTCCCGGCTGCTCGGCCGGGCAGCCCGGGCCCCAGCAGAGGCCCAGCTGTTGTATCATTAGGCTCTAACTACCCCACTAAACTTTCCCGATTGGAGCTGGTAAGCAGGACAGAACAGCCTCTCTGAGGGAACCGGGCGGGAGAGGCGCCAGCGTCTCTATAGCAACGTGGCCAAGTGAAGCAGGCTGAAGTTACTCACGCTCCGCATGTCGCGTCACAAGCATTTTTCAAGATTAAGCTGCTTACCAGAAGGGTTCAGAGGAGGCCTATTATATTTCATGAAAATGGAAACTACAGAGCGGGTCAAATCGCAAGCCGGGTGGTTTTTAAGCAGGATCCAAGAAAAACACTGAAGGATTCTTTAGCTGGTGCCCTAACTGGGGGCCTTCACGACTATTAGCTACTCAAAGCAAACTTGTGCAGACAGGATCAAAACCAGGAATGAGTCTATTCAGTCAGCATGGATCGGGACTCTCAGGATGGCTGAGAAAGAGCCATCCTGGTGCACCATCATTTGAGAGAAGACCCCATGTGTGCCAGGCAGGGCCTGCAGCCCCCCACCACAGTCCTTGGAGGATGCTGTGTGTTGTGGGCACCCTGCTTGGTCCAGCTCACTCAGTGCCTCTGTCATTAGAGAGCTCTGGGCTTCTCACATTTGTGTGGGGGAAATGCTGTGCTCAGGAGAGCGCCTTTCCTCAAAGGGAAGACCCCCCCCCAGCTACAAGTCACTCTGCCCCAAATGTGCCACCACTGCCACGTAGAGGCTTCTTTATGAGAGCAAACAAAGCAGTTACAGGGACGCAGGTGTGCCAATGGGAAGCAAGGCAGCCTCGTGCCTGTGGCATATTGTTATAAACCTAAGCCCAAATCCACCACCTGAACAGCGCATTCCAGCTCAGAGCAACCTCCCTGGGGTTTCTGAGGGTATCAGTCTTCAAGAGGAGTGACTGCCTATCTTTCTCCCCCAGAGATGCTGGTTGATTTGACCCACCAATCTTTTGGTTAGTAGCCTGACTGGCTATGCACTATGCCAAAAGAACAAAGTAAATTTACTATCCCATCTGAAATGAAAAAGCTTGGCTGCACTTGAGTTTGTTAGCCTATCTTGCTCCTTTTCCATGCCTCATCCACTCCTTTCAATTCTCGATCACCTAAAGCATGCAGCCTGAAGGGACAGCGATGACACCATCCATTTCCCACCCTCAGGAGCTTTACTGCCCTTGGGCTGCTGGGCTAAGCTTCCACGAAAAATAAATCTGATATGGAAGGACCTGGCATGCTGTGGAAATCAAGAGGGAAGGAGCTTCAGGCTGGGATGGCAGAGGAGAAGGACAATCAGTCTTAAAACTTACACTTTCTGGAACACAAGAAAACTTCTCTGAAATCATAAAAGGCACACCATCCATTGCTGCAAAAGAAAAGAGAGAATAACACTGAAGACACCTTTGATGGTCAGTAGTGACTTAAGACTGCAGTACAGGTGGCTTCAGTAGAGCAGGTGCCGTCCCTGCCCTCAGCGGTGCACGCCCAAAGAGTCAGCTGGGACTCCCCCCACCCCATGTCCCTGAACACCAGCTAGGCGAGCAGACAAGAGCTTCGGGAGTGCAGAAGGAGCCCAGAACCCTTGCCAAGAGTCCAGATTCAGATCTGAGTAGTGGGAGTCATCAAGGGGCTGAGATAGGAGCATAAATAGGTAGAGCGGAGCAGTGATAAAGCTGTCTGTGAGGCTGGAGACAAGAAGCATGTTTACCAGTCAGTCTTTTAGGCAAGATTAGATAAGGCAGGGATGGCTCATGTTAGAATTCTTGCCTTCCATGCAGGAGACCTATAATCAGTTTCTGGCCAGTGCACTTCATGTGTAGCTACCACCTTGTCAGTGAAGGTCTGCAAGTTGCACTGATGTTAGCAGGTTTCAAGGGAGCTGCCAGATTAAGACTGACTAGGGAGAAACCCCTCTGAATCTCACTGATCCTATCCACATTGAACATGGGGGAAGCGGCAGGATAATGCATGGGGCTCCATGATTTCAGAGCCAACCTAGTGGTTGCTAACATCAAAGAAAAAAAAATCTTATCAGGTCCATGGAACATTCTAATTTGAAGACGTTACAGAAGCAGATAAACTGGGTTTGAGTTCCAATCATGGCTTAAGACAAGCTTCTCACCAGTTAAAAAAGGGCTGGTGTCATTCCATTAACATATCTGTGTGAGTTAGACATGGTGGATGTGAAGCACCTGTCCAGCCAGTGATGCTCAGTGGTGGGGGCTACAGGGACACTATCACAGACTCTCACTCATTCAGGTACTAGAGCTTCGAGGGGTGACTCAGGCTCATCAGCCTGTTTGGTCTCAATGAGAAACAGAGAAAGGGTGAAAGGGCATGAATGGCTACATATGAAACCATATGAAGGGGACTCACAGTGTATCTGGGTGATGTGGGAAAGCGGAACAAGATCATCTTTCCTCTTCCACAACCATCTCCTGTCCCCAAATATGCCCCTAAGTCACTGTCATCAATAGCACACAGAGGAAAATATGGCCAGAGCCTGCCTCCACTAGGACTCATTCATTCCCTGGAGAAGGGCTCCATGTTCATGGTGATGTTAGAGCAAGGTCTGATCATAATCAGGGCTGGAATTGTGGCATGTTGGAGCGGTGGGCCATATGTAACAAAATGTGAGACAGTGCTGACTGTCAGGACTGACTAACATACTTCCTGGTATGTGGTTTCTCCTTTAGTTTGGAGCAAAGTTAGAAATGAATAAACACATGACTTGGCCATGCTGGTCCCAGCCAGTCATGCCAGGGACTTGCAACCAGGCAAGCTGAGGGTAACAAAAGAAAAAAATAACCAAACTAAATGAGTTGATCCCGACTCATGTGTCTGAGCAGAGCAGTCCTCCATAGAGTTCTTCCAAGGTGCCTTTGGATGAACTAGAACCTTTCAGTTATTAGCTAAATATTTAACTGTTTGTGCCATAAAGGGATGCATTTCCCCAAGGGTGATAATTTTTTTTATGATAAATTGTGGTTTTAGGAAGAAACAGAGGGAACAAAGTAGAAGCCTTAGCAAGTGGTCTGCTGGGAAATAACATTCTTTGGTTCTTCCAACTTCAGCTAGAACTGAGACTTCTCTGGTATATAAAAGGTGGGCAATATCTTTAGTTTTAAGAAAGTAAAACAGCAGAAGTAGAAAAAAAGAAAAATGCAGAAAGGGAAAGAAAATAAACTTGGGACAATTAATTCCTCTCTGATCACCAAAATGAGTCAAAGCGCTCATTTTAAATCTACATTCATAATTTACTTCAGGGAGGGGGAAAAAAAGTAAGCTTGAAGCAAAAGAAATAGCACAGCTGGCCCCAGATGCTGCGCGGGAGGCTCCTTCCCTCTCTTTAGAAGGCTATTCACTGCCCACAGCTTGATCGCGTGGCTTGAAGGAGACAGTTGTGGTCAGAAACCTCCTATCACTGGCAGTCCCTGCAACCAGCTGCAAATTGCCCAGAAGATAACAGACTACGGACTGACAATTCCCCATGAAAGGGAGGGGGAATGCCCCAAATGATCTTCTACTAGTAAAAATCTCTGAGCAACTGTGCATGTATAATCTTTACAGCTGAAAGTAAAAGAATCAACAGTGAACAGAGAGTCCGGAAAAGCCATACAAGAAGGAAAACCAAGTCTTGACCAAGATTCAACAAAAGGCCACCTTTTCTTCAGCTCCCACGACTGCCTCCACTGCACTCTGATCTCCAGGGCCCTTCCAAGTGCTACTGGCACGGCCAGTGTTTGAAGACTCCCATCATTTCTGATCACTTTACAGACAACGAAGCAGAGGCTTGGTGAAGGTCTGGTGTGTTGAGTTGACACAGGCAGGAAGTAGGGACTCCAAACCTCTTAACCCTCCCATCAGGTATAAAAAGAATTCTTAAAACAAAATGGCTGTTGCCTCCACACCATGGCCTTTCACACTTCTAATTACTATCATTATCTTCTCCTTAAGTCTTTGTTGCTGCTGTGTGCTTCTGAGTCAGAACCAACTCATAGCTAACTCTCTAGTGAGTTTTCAGAGGCAGCAAATTGCATGGGAGGAGACTGCCCATCCTTCTCCCATGGAGTAGTTGGTGGATTTGAACTGCATGCCTTTGGGATTGCAGCACAGCTGCTTACCACTGGGCCACCAGAACTGGCCCTTTTATAAGCTCTTTTTGATGAGACAGCTGGGCCTGGAAGCATGCATGTGAATAGTCCAAAATCAAGCCTATCCCTCCTTCTCTAAAATCTTGTTAGATTTCCCACTTAATGTGGATGCACCTCCTCCTAGCCATCTAAGCTTGCGTGCTAGATAGCACAGCCCACTTTACTATGCTTTGAATTACTAAAGCCTAAAATGTTTACCTATGTCATGGCATTAGCTAATGTTAGATGGATCTTGGCTGAAAGCAAGGAGTACCAGAGAATGTCTGTGTTTCATTGATTATGCGAAGGTGTTTGACTGTGGATCACAACAAACTGGCTAACTCTGAGAAGAATGGGAATCCTGGAACACTTGATTGTGCTAATGCGAAACCTATACGTGATCCAGGAGGCAGTTGTCAGAACAGAGCAAGGAAATATGGCATGGTTCAAAATTGGGAAGGTTATATGGCAGAGATGTGTCCTACCTTCATACACTTTCAATCTATATGCAGAACAGATGATCTGGGAGGCCGGACTCTATGAGGAGAAATGTGGCATCAGAGTTAGAGGAAGGTTCATCAACAATCTGCATTATGTAGATTACATGATCTTGTTTGCTGAAACTGAGGAGGACCTGAAATGTTTGCTGAAGAAAATCAAGGACTGCAGTCTAGAATTTGGATTGAGGCTCAATATCAAGAAAACAAGGATATTCACCACTGGGTTGTTTGGAAACATCACAATAGATGGTGAAGAGGTTGAGATTGTTAACAGCTTTAATTTGCCTGGCTCCACAATCAACACTCTTGGCATCAGCAGCCAGGAAATTAAAAGACAAACTGCAACGGGAAAGTCTGCTGTTAGAGACCTCTCCAAAATACTGAAGAGCAATGATGTCAGTCTGGAGACTAAGGTGCACCTGATACAGGCCATGGTCTTTGCAATCACTTGCTATGCACCAGAGAGCTGGACAATGACTAGGGATGATAGAAGGAAAATTGATGCCTTTGAGCTGTGGTGTTGGAGAGAGTATTGAATGTACCATGAACTGCTAAGAGAACAAACAGGTTCATCCTGGACAGGGTTAAATGATGCTGCTCCTTGGAGGCAAGGAATTTGAGGCTTCATCTGACATACTTTGGACATGTTGCAAGGAGGGACAGTCCTTGGAGAAGGATGTCCTGATTGGGAGGGTGGAGGGACAGTACAGGAGACGAAGACCCTCTATGAGATGGATTAATTCAGTGACTGAAGTAATGGGGTTAGGTGTGTCAGACACAGTGAGACTGCCTCAGGATAGAGCAGGGTTTAGGGCTGTTGTGCATAGGGTCACTATGAGTTACAGGAGATTCAATGGCATATAACAACAACAACAACATGCACACATGTGCACCACTTGATCACAGCTTCTCTCTGCCCACTGAACAGATGGCAAGGCCCATGGAAGAGCCCTCTCTGTATGCCCAAAGCCCGCGCATGGTGCCTTGGTATTTCTCAAATAGTGCATCTTCAGCACACATCACCTAGCTGGAAACCCATCGGCCATTCACTAGGCTTTCTGCCTTGGATGTTTTAAAGACCTTATTAGCTTTTCAGGTTTCTGATAAGATATGGTGAATATCTCCCTCTCACTGATACCTGTTACTTCTATCAAAGTATTAAGGTGTGTTTGCAGAACTGTGGCTTAAGAAGGTAGATTGCATGGGGGTCTACAAAGATCCAATTATATCTGGGAGAATTTCTCCACAGGAAATTGTCTAGAGGGGGTTAAAGGCAAGAAGTCCAAGAGTGAAATCAATATAGGAAGATACTAGACCATCTGAAGAGAATAAAAGGAAGCTGCATTCCTAAAACTGTCTGAGAAGCAATAGATGGCAGTGAGGGTGGAGCTCTGCATGAGGCTTAGTGGCAGAGAACAATGAGAACCTGTATGAAGCTAACCTCGACCACATAAAGACAGTGTCTGGTGAAAAGAGATTGACAGGATCTCAGGAAAACTACTACTTAGAGTTCATGAAAGAAGATGGGCCCAGCCAGATGTTCCTCTGATCCTTTTAGAAAACATATTTAAAAAGATTAAGATAAAAAGAAAATAGTCAATAGGATCCTATGTACTGAAGCTCAGGGATGCAAGATGTTCTTAGCATTAACACACAGAGTCCCTTTAAATAGGAGCCACAGAGAGTTTTTAAACAGAAAATCTTCTAACTCAATTTTATTTGTTTAAAAATCT